GCCACTGCAGTCAAAACAATTACATCCGAATCATTTTCAAAATCATAGGTTAAAAATATACCCTACAAAATACATCAAATACTGTTCTGGCTGTGAGTAATATTCCAGTTAATTTTGTTGCATTACTCTCAATTTGTTGGGCTGTAGTTGATCTTTGCTCATAGAACCAAAAATTCAATTACTGGATTTGATTACTGTTGAATTTTACACACATTTCAAGAAGCAAAAAACCAAACAACCTTGAAGAAAACATTTTTTCTGCATGGTAGCAACTGGCAATTTCCAAACTAGACAGAAAATGTCCACAGATAGCACATCATTTTCAGTTTACAGAAGAAATAACTTTTGCTGCTCACAAAAGGACCTGAAATAAATGGCCCACAAAATTATCTGCATCTTAAAAACGAACTAGTGCTTCATTAAAAAAAAAACAAACCAAAAAACAAAAAACCACTGTGCTATCTGCATATACAACTGAGGAGAAACTTCACCTGAAAAGATCCCAGAATGTTCATGTTTTATTACAACTCCAAAGAAAATCAAAAAACACCCCCAAACAAAAACAACAACAACAATATACCCACCACTTTCAAATGCTCATGGCGAGAAGTTTAGCAAGATTAAGAAACAGAACAGTTACTAACAAATACAGGATAGATCCTGTCCACTATGAGGAGTGTTCTACGTTTTTAGATTGGTTCAAAATTAGTGAGGGCAAAGAAAGAAAGCCCTCTGAATAAGTCAATAAAAAGAATCTTCAGCACATTAATGATTGAGCTCACCTACCTTCACTGGTCCATGTTCATTACTGCAGCCCTGCACCAGTTGCACATAGAACATCATGAAAATATTCATCACTGCCCACTCTCTGTACATTTTGACCATTATAATATCCACTGATTACTGAGCACTTGACATCAGGAAGCTAGAGAAAACTGTTTCAAAAGGCATTCTCCTGAAGGAAAGTTTGAAACCCCCAAACTTTACATGGAAAAACAAATAATCAGTTGTGATCAAAATCCGATGATATGACTTTCAGTTAGCCAAGGTATATTTTTGGCACAATCTTGGTGGGGGGAGAGAGAGAGAGATGAAAAAAATGAAAACGTTCTTATGCTCCAAAAATAATCAGGAGGTGGACATGTCTTCCACCTGAAATGTGGAAGTATTCTAAATTAATTTCATGTCCAGCAAATTAGAAAAAAAAAAATTCTCTCCACCCTATGTCCTCAGTTCTGGCTGCTTCCTAAGGAAGTGGCACAACCACAATGCTTGCAGCTACAGAAAGCTGGAACCCAATTCTGGATTAAAACTTTTTTCACAACCTTCATGGAAGCTTGCAGAAGCATGTGTCTTAAATCTGACACAGATTTTGGCAGAAAATGCAGGGAAGTTGGCTGCAATCCTGTTGCGTCCCTACCAATAGCAGGGCAGTTTACAAAACTGACTCAAATGCTCAGGACTGCATTATTTTAAAGCAGATAACCTGTAACGCGAAACCCCAGCACACAGACCTGACCTTGTATCTCAATCAGATTGCTTAGGAAGGGACCTCAAGACGCTCACGCATCTGCTACCAGTGACACACAGAAAGCAAGCAACATGTTTTTTAAAAACCCACACACGCATGAAAAGAACCAAAACATCCTTATGTACATACAAAAAGGCAAACATACACAAAATGATTTTTTAACAGGAGCTTACTAACTTAGGTCAAAATGAAGGACATCGATTTTTTAGAGAAGCAACGATTAGTTTTATTTGCAGGTTCCAGGAAACTCTCATCTTACATGCATTGTTACATAAACCAGGCTACCACTTTAGCGTGTAATTCTTTAGATGCACCGGCTAAGTTAGCTTTAGAAACTAAAGGTCTTGAATAGTTGCATGCTACAAATGACCAAATTCTAGGAAGCATGGAGACCTGCTCTTGTGGTCTTCACTAGTTTCCGATCTTTGATTTCCATGTTTTGGCCTTTTCGAATCCATTCTTCCCATTTCTATAATCGAGGATGGCCTGAGAGATTTCTTCGCGGGTATTCATTACGAATGGGCCTAAGGCAGAAAGAGACATTCAGGAAGTTCTGGGTGACAAAGGTGACAATATTTTCCTCTGCCACGTGAAATGGTATGCATTTCTATAGTTCTTAATTTGAAACAAAACCCAGGCATAACTGAACAGTAAAAGCTCCCTTTCACAGTGCTCAGTCCCCAAGGACTGTAATACCAATTTCTCGAATAGGATTGTATACGATTATGAATTACAACAACTTCACTTGAGATAAACTAATGCACTGTAGGTTTTTCATCAGCAATGGCATCTCTTCATTCAAAAAAGTCTTAAAATTCATTCTATTACAACCATTTTTGTGGTTATTTTTGACTTTAGCTGCCATCAAGAATTGAATCTACTTGACACAAAGAATTGGCAAATCTCTTCATAGTTTAGATGTCTAAACAATATATGAGGCTGTGTGTGTATATATGAGGGTTCTGAGTCATTTTTGAAAATTAGCAGCACTTCACTGACAACTAGCAGGAGATTAACAAATTTTCAAGTCAAGAAAAAGCATCATTTTGGGGGTTCCCTAGGGGTTAGCAAACTTTCTGTAAAGGGCTAGCTTAGTATATATTTTTAGACTTTGTGGGTCAGACAGTGTCTGTTTCAACTACTCCTTTCAGTGAAGTGCAAAGCAGTCATAGGCAATATAAAAGTGAACAAGGATGGCTGTGTTCCAATAAAACTTTATTTACAAAAGCATGTACTAGGCAGATTTGGTCCATGGGCCATAGTTTGCTGGGTCTGAACTCAAGTTTTGCCTTGTATCAGAAGTCTTCCCCTAATCTACCAGGAGGTAGTATGTCTGTCTCTTCCCTTTTCTTCACACATTTGCAGCACTATTTCTACTATGCAACAGTTACCTTTGTTCATTTTTTTCAATATACAAAAAATGACTTAACCATTTTAGAAAATTAAGAAATATTATTCCTAAGGGGTTCATATTTTTCACTAAAAATACAATAGACAGTATGGAAATCACTGTTAAGTTTGCTAAAGATACAAATGATGTTCAAGTCCCCACTAGAATGCAAAAATCTTTTAAGTTGAAATTCCCTATGACATGATGCAAAAACAGTATTTTTGTTCTTCCTACCATTCCAAGCTCAATGTTCTACACATGACAAGTACTTAAGAAATATTTCTCATTAAAGAAATAGATAGGGACCGGATGCAGTGGCTCACGCCTGTAATCCTAGCACTCTGGGAGGCTGTGGTGGGTGGATGGCTTGAGCTCAGGAGTTTGAGACTAGAGTGAGCAAGAGTGAGACCCTGTCTCTACTAAAAACAGAAAAACTACCTGGGGGTGGTAGCAGGCTCCTGTAGTCCCAGCTACTCAGGAGGCTGAGACAAGTAAATCACGTGAGCCTAAGAGTTTGAGGTTGCTGTGAGCTATGATGCCGCAGTTCTCAATCCCAGGGCAACTGAGTGAGATTCTATCTCAAAACAACAACAACAACAACAACAAAAGTAGATAGGAAGTATTTTTCTCTCACAATGAAGAAATTAAACAAAATCCTCAGATTTGTAGATGGAGAGACAAGACAAAAATCTAGCTATTTCAAATAATACTCTATATGTACGCTACTTTAAAAAAATATCAACAAATGGAATCATCATTATTTGTGGCTTACCATGCTGTACTATTGGCTCCCTTATTGGTTCCCCAGCTATCAGGACAAAATGGCTTCCTTTCTGGTCCTAGAGTTAACAAAGAAAACACATGACAATAAATAGGTTTATTTCTGAATGTCAAACTGGGAGCAGCGTGAACTTGATGTGCTAGCCAAATGGATACTATTCCTAATTCTGAATATAAATTTCAAAAATATTTTCTGTGCAACATTCAACATGGAAACATTCATTCCTTAAGCTGTTTAGTAGTAATTAGAACTCAAGAATAAGTCCAAGCCACAAAAATATTAATATTCTCAAATCAACAAAGGAGAATTTAAGATTTTCTTTAATTGGAAACATCTTCATGACAAACTATCAAACTATGCAACTGAATTGGTTTATTATACGGTTTACAATTTCTCACTAACAATATAATTTTTAAAAGGAAAGATTACTTCTGCAAATCCAAAACTAAAATTTTACTTAGTGAATTTACTTATTTATTTATAGAGACGAAATCTTGCTTGGTCACGGGGGGTTGAGTGCAGAGGCATGATCTTCACCAACTGAAACTTCGAATTCCATGGCTTACACAATCCTCCTGCCTCAGCCTCCAAGGTACCGAGGACTACAAGCCATGTGCCACCATGCACAGCTAATTTTTTTTTTGAGACAGATTCTCACTATGTCACCCTGGGTAGAGTGCCATGGTGTCACAGATCACAGCAACCTCAACCTCTTGGGTTTAAGCAATTTTCTTGCCTCAGCCTCCCAAGTAGCTGGAACTACCGGTGCCTGCCACAGTGCCTGGCAATTGTTCTTACTAGACTTCACTGTTTAAACTTCTTAGGCCAGTGGAAAGATAAAACAATTAACTATTACCAGTTTTTAAAAAGTAATGGTTTATTTTATTATGAATTTTCACATATAAATAAAGTTGTGTCTAGCTTTACTAGGCTATTTTGTTTTATTTCTGTCTTTCAATGTTATTTTAATCAAATGTTAATCTTTATTATTTGAATGAGTTCCCCATGAACGGTGATAGTTAAAAGGCATTGTTACTCTGAAGTATGGTTTTGATGACAGTCAGTGGGGCAATGATCGTCTGCTTGGGTACTCTGCAGGTGAGTTTGCTAATCTATGAGGCTTAAGATCTTCTCAACAGGACATTAATATAAATATGGATATAAAAGTGAGATGGAGCCCTTCCTATCAAAGTCATGTGCTCCTGATCATGAAGCCATCGGGACAATCACCATTCAGGATAAAGTTCAGAGTCCCAGCTGTGGGCCAAAGCAGCACAGGGAGGTTTTGAAACAGAAACTGTTCCAGGGTGACTGGTACCACTCCAGGGTTAAATGTCTGGAGTAGCCTGGGGTTGATTCCAATCCCTACAAACTCTGAAAAAGTCAAGTACATTTCAAGGTCATTGTTGTGGTTTGGGTTTCTTTCAAGAAGTCAAAGCATACGGCCTCAAGACTCTTAAGGCTAGCATATGCCAAGCCCACTGCAGTTGCTACCCACCGTGGAAGATTTCAGAGGGATAGGCACAGAAGCAATTCCCACTGAGTGAGGAAGTCAGCCGGCCCTGCACGCTTTCATAAAGTCTGCTGGCTCAGGCTATGCAACAATGACGGAACTGCATATAGCAGAATGATGCCCCGGAGCCAGGAGCACTAGTAGCCCATGAATTGATGGTTTCAGCTGCCTCTTTTCTCTCCTGGCTGCCCCTGTCCTCATTGCCCTCACTGCTTCTTACTGGTGTTGTGTTTCAGCTGCCAAATCCCGAGTATTTGCAGTGTGCTCTCTGTTACATTAGAGGAGGAAGCGAGGTCACCAAGTTAAACCAGATCATGTTCTAAATGACTCTGATATCAGTAGGTTGTGGCCTTTGTGTAGCTTTCCTGCCTCTTTCCTATACTGGGTTGAAATATATTAAATTGTCTTTTTTTGTAGGTCACATGGCAGTTTCCTATGGTTCAGCCTAATACGAGAGGGCACAGATCCTGAGATAAGCACTTTTTTTCTGGTGCTCAGGAAATTTTTCTAATGTTACTTCACATCTCATGGCAGTGCTACAGATTAGAGCAGCAGGAGGTGGGCTGCCAGAAAAGGAAGCTGAGATAATCCCTCCATTCCACTGCATTCTATAATCCCAGAGTCAGAGGCCCAGGACTCAGACACACTGCTTCTCCCCCTGACACTTTTGGACAACTGTCTCCTCAATCCTCTTTATGAAAGTGTCACAAAGCAGTCAGATTGGCTTACCAGATTCATAAGATGGTAAATCAATCACCCAGGGAACAAAAAGGACATGAGAAAGAAATGTGGAAACCTGGGGAAAACGCTTCCCAAGACTCCTAAAATATCAGAAACTTTACTTCACAGTCAGGGATTTGTCGCAAAAGGACTGTGAAATACATCACATGCTCCTCTCGGTTCAAAATGCAGGCTCTATGTAGTATACACGTAGACCCATATTTATGCTTCTAGCAGTCACTTATGCTAAAAACAAAATAGTCTTTCCCTCCCTGGCTGCTTGAGGATTGCCTACCATCATGAATGACACAATGACTGTCTGGACTAGGAAGTTCATGACCAAATGACTATTGCAGAGGAAACACATGGCCACTGATATCCTTCGCCCTGGGAAGGCAACAGTCCCAAAGACAGAAAGGAGGGAAAAACTAGCCAGAATGTACAAGACCACACCC